GGGGAGACTACTGTAGTTTATTTTTACTTGGTAGGAAAAAGATGTATAACGTCAATGTTCTGCCTCACTAACTGTCAGCATCTATCTATAACTTTGCTATTCACAGTGTGCTATGTGGACAGCAGCATTAGCAGCACCTGGAAGTTTGTTACAAATGTGGAATCCAGGTTCACCCAGGCCTACCGAGCCAGGATCTGCATCTTAACAATATCCCTCAGGTGAAGCTTTTGCTACCTCAGCTAATCCAGAGAAGGCATGCCACTCTCACGGTCCCACAGGTAACACAATGACCAAACTACGCTGATAGTGATGTTCACACAGGATGCAGTAAGAGCCTTAACTCCTTGGGTAAGACTTGTAAGATATTAAATAGATATACATAAGTGTTTGTAGCAGCTTTATGTGTAACTATCCCAAAATACATACAACCAAAATGTCCACCATGAGCCACAACCACACAACCGAACACAATTCAACAAAAAGAAACCAACCACTGATACAGGCTAAACACCAATCTCAAAAAAACTATGCTGATTAAAAGGTAACATACAAAATTAATGGATATGTACATCATCTTGACTGTGGTGATGATTTCATATGTAATTTAATGTAATTTAATGTAATTAAATTACAGGACCCCTTCCACCTAGACTTTGTTTGCCTAAGCTTCCTGTTATTGAACCCCTAGGCTAATAGGAATTCTAAAAAACTCCAGTTTGGGGCCAATCACCAGTGAGAAACAGACCCTGTATTCTGCAGAGGCTTCCTGCTCTGGGGCAATAGTTCCAGAACCACCTGAAACGTGATGGCTGCAAAGATGCAGGTGGCAGAGGACCAAACTTGAAAGTGACTTAGGACTCATTAACATCTAAAATGCACACCCCTAGATGGAGACATAAGATGCTAATGAAACATGACATATGAAGAAGCATGTAACCAGTCTATACATGTCCCGGTGTAGCCAATCAAGACTGTGGCTCAGGGCAGATGCCACCACTCTCCTATTGCGTGATCCACAGTATATGCCCCTGGTTTGAAAAATATTATTTGCTGTTTCAAAATTTGTGGGAGATTAATTAATGGAAGCCAAAATCTGTAACAAGTACTTACTTTAATATGTGTCATTTATTTTATTCCAATAAACCCATTTTTAAAAATTATATTTCTTCATTAACAGGAATTATGAATTCAACAGAAGAAAGTAAACTAGTTTCCTTACATTTTATAAACAGGTCAGTTGAGAAATATAATTTAAAACTAATAAATTAAATGATACAAAGTCCATTTAAAATCATAAAGAAAACACTAGGAAAAAAGGATTAAAGAAAAAAGTTTTAAACTGGAAATATATGAATTCATTGGTCACAGTAGGTCAACAGAATTTTCTAAAGAAACAGAGGATCAAGTCAACTACATAAAGTTATAATAATTTTTAAAAAGGTGGTATGAAAGTACACTTATGCATTATCAGAATAAATCCACACACAGAACAAACAAAAAAACAGATAGTATATTTAAGATGATTTTTTAAATGTCAAATCACCAATATCAGAAGGCACAGGAAATCATGAGAGCCTTAATACCAAACACATCAATACACTGAAAGGAGCTGTATACATCTAGTAAGAGAAAGAAGCCAACTAAACCCACCCATAAGCAGAACAACAGAGGAACATCTAAAACAAACAAGAACATAAAACTTATAAAATTTGAAGGATGGTTATGATATCACAGTCAAATATAAAGAAAACATCTCCTAGTCTTAATAAATAAAGAAAGGCACTTTATAAGGTTTAATCCACAATGGAGGTCTCGCAGTGATAAATTTCTACATACCAAATAACACAGCAGCAGTATCCATGAAGCAAAAACATAATAAGCAATAAATTCAAAACAGTACAAATATCACTGCCATTTTATGACCAATATGCAGTAACTAAAAAAAAAAACAAAAACACTAGCTAATTGGGGACAAGTATGATGGCCTGGAAGTGTATTTTCCTCCCTATTTTCATAGCTTAGCAGAGAGCTGGCTCAACATATGAGGACCAGCAAAAACGGAGGCTCCACCCCCAGCCTCGGAAAGCACTTTCTAACAAGGCAATTTTCCCAACTAGGAAGCATCCAGCAAACTTGGTTGAACAGAAGTGTTCTTCTTCCTTAAAACGCTAAACAGCTCGAGTAATGCAGATATGTGGCCCACTCCCCTATAATTATGGCCCCCAAATTTCTTCTACCTCAATGAATTATTTATATATCTAAATGAATCATTTTAAAATGAATTAATGGGTATATCCTTGGCTCAACTATACCTTCCTTCATATCTTTTGGAAATAGGTTTGTCCTGCAAGACAGCCTCTCCTCTATACTACTTTGAGAAATATCCTATGAGTCTTGCAGCACTGGCTATAACTGGGGCAAGCTGGCCTACCCTGGTAATCCATGTAAGCCAAACTCCTTGCCAACAAATCTAAAGCTACAACATTCAATTTAGCTAATATCAATAAATAATGATAATGTTTTACCCATTTTCTATTTTATTCTTTATTTCACAATTTATTCCAAGCCTAGGAAAGGAGGAATTCTATTTATTAAGGATCCCTCAGATACCCTAATAATATATATATAATATTTTCTATATTATTGTCTGTAATAGTAAAAAACTACCCAACTGTCCATCAATAAAGGAATAATTACATACATTATAGTATATCCTTAGCAAATAATACTAGGAAATCTTTTTTTTAAATGCAGAGGTAAAAAGTCCACAATGGAGAAAACTATATTCTAATTTATTCTTAGAAATAAAGTTTTTCAGAAACAAGGTCTATCACACAGCCAAAGAACCAAGAAAACAAGAAACAATAAGAACCAGTAGGGAAAAAAACACTTAAAAGGAAGATTCATATAAAATTGACATTCATAATCCTCAAAGACATGATGCAAAGCAAAATACTGCAAACTATAAAAAGTGATGTAACAGATTTTTTTAAATCCCCACAGGTTTTTAAATGAAATAAAAATGTATTGCTTGTTGTAACAAATCTGGTGGAACTTATAAGAAAAAGCACTGAACTATCGGATGGATGACAAGAAACTACTGAGCAAGAAGTATGAAGAAACAAACAGAAAGAAAATACAGGTAAAGGAAGAGGTAGAGAAATGAAGAACACAGTAAGAAGGTCCAAGACTTGTATACCTGGCAAAAAAACAAAATCCTGAAACAAACATCTGTCTACATCTAACTTGATGAGCATAAAATAAAGCAGCAAATCAACACTTATTCTTGACTAAGAAAAGCAACAAACTCTAAACAAGATGAAACTGAAGAAAATTCCCTGAACTTGACAATTATTGCAAAATATTAAAAGCTGATCAAAGCCAAATAAAGATAAGGATGAACAGAGCCACTTCAAAAAATTGGAATATTTGTAGTAAGGGCCTTAGCCAATGTGGAAATATATTTAAAATACATGATTAAAATATATTTGGGGGAAAAAATAAAATTGTATTACACATAATGAACTTCCCATCTGGAAAATATAAGAAAATTTATTGAGAAATAACAATAACTAATATAAGTAATTAAGTTGGCATAATATAAAAAGAGTCCATAAATTTTAACAGCTTTCTATAGATCTACAATAACCAGATTGCAATAGAAATGAGGGAAAAACCCCAATCAAGGGAAAAAATGCAATAAAACAGTTAGAAAAAATACAAGATAAAAACCAATTTGAAGAGAAATATAAAAACTTTCTCGGACATTGAAAATGAATGACCTCTCCTAAAATAAGAGTCATGCATCTCATAAATGAAAAGATAAATTATCACAAAAAGGTGATTTTTTTTTTTTAAATTCCAATCATAGAGTATTTTTCTCTTAGTCTTACAAAAACAGTAATCCTAAAATCATCTGTAAGAATTGATGAATGGAAATTACCCAAAAAAATCTTCCAGGAAAAAAGAAAAATGAAAGGAACTTAGTACCGTACCCTGTAGACATTGAAACTTTTTATTTTAAAAGGTACTAGATTCAATTATGTGACACATTAGAAGACAAAATCTGCAATGAAATTTAACAAAGATTAATATAGAAGTGGTCTTTGAATAAAAAGGCAATAATTAAATAACGCTTATGGAATGGAGGATGAAGGATGTGAAAAGGCAATTTAAAGAAAGGAAAAGACAGTCTAAATTCAAAAAGATAAGCAGCACAAAGTATCTAAGAATACAAATTTAAACATTGTGATGCTTTTTTTTTTTTTAACCTGACAAACTTAAAAAATAGCAATCCAACTGCTGAGGAAATAGGTACTGTTTTTAATGGGAATATAAATTACTATAATTGTTATGAATATAATCATGTAAGATCAACCATGATTCTTAGAACAGCAATTTCATGTTTATAAATCTCTCCTATAAAAATACATGGGACTTCTGTACAAAGACATCCACTGCTATATCATAAATAACAAAAAAAAAAAAAAAAAAACCACAATATGTTCATAAATATTAAGAAATAATTTAAAATTCTGGATAAGACACAATGAATTACCAAGCAGCAATAAATTTAAAAGTATTAATAGACTGATATGTGCTGATACAAATACAACACCAAAGTCTGTAATTCTAAGGAAACAGTACGATCCTATTTATGTAAAAATACAAAAAGATACAAATATATAAATTTATAAATTTATTTGTACATGCAGTTATTTAAGAGATATAGATACTTTCAGTTGAAGTTTTATGCCTATGCCTTACATTTCCTAATAACCTACCTTCATATGCCATATCACTCACAAAGGCACCTTTAATTATGAAATATTTTTCAAAATTTTTAAAATTAAATATATTATATACTGTTTCATAGCAACCAGGTGTTAAGTCATTATTACCTAATTGTACAAGTATTCTGGCCCAAGTTTTTATATAGAGACAGGGTGCATTTGAGGTCATTCTTCAGCATGCTAAAAGCAGAATTTAATTGTGCTTACCAATTTCATTAATCACTGCTCTTATTTTGGAGACAAAAGGACCAACTTCACTGGAACTCATTTTCACTCTTTCCTTAAGGTCAGCACCTGCAAAGTGTTTTATTTACAATCTTGTTATAAACAAAATTTTAAGGCAATAAATTGAAAAATTAAGACTTGTATATAACATCAAGATCAACTGAATTTGTTAGATGAATCATATTATCTAGATTTTCCTTCCAAGTAACCATCAGAAGGAAAAATAAAATATCTTTTCATACATCCACCATGTGCTACTTGTATGTTGATACATATAGCATGGCAGTCTACTTAGGAAAGTAATAGTTCTCAAACTTTGTGCTCTCCAGATTTCCTAATACTCTAAGAAAAAGAAACTTTGTTTAGATTGTATCTGTCAACAGTTACTATACTAAACACATTAGTGTTAAATCAAATAACTACAGTATGCCACTTCCTTGTTCTCGAAAAGATATTGACAGTTTTATCCACAATTGCTTTTGCCCATAGTGCAAATACCCACCCAGTGACAAGAACAAGCACATATGAGATTCACTACTATGAAACTCATTCTGATTTCATGGATGCCCTCCTTGGTGACTGCAGACCACATTACAGAATCACTGACTCTAATGGACGAGCAAGTGGATAATTTCATAATTATGAGTTTACCCCAGAGTCTTAACTTTGAAACAGAGAAAAATAAACATGAGATTCCTAAAGAGATCATTTGCCCTATGGCTCAACAAAGACATTCTTTTTTAATAAAATTAAACTGAGAAAAGGTCGATCCTATTTAAATTAACAGACAAATGAACAGCAAAGTAAAATTGAGAAACAGAAGGTACACACTCAGCTATTCACTCTCATTAGCCCATTATAAATTGATCCTGACTGGATAAAACATCAAGTGCCCCGCGGCTAGAATATTCTGAACCCACATATTTCTTGTGGATATAAGAATTACAAATAACAAAGCATATACCCTACATCCCAGCAGCTCTCAGGTATCAATATCGTAGCAAATTTCTCAACCATATGGCTGAGAAAACATGGGCATAAGATTCAATTTGGCATAAATAAAATAGCAAAAAAATTGGAAATAACCTTAATACCCATCAAGAAGACTACTAATAAAACCTGGACATATTTATACGACAGAATGTTGTAGGTATGGTGTGAAAATAAAGAAATTAAAGTATAAAGATGGATAAACCTAACAATGTTGGAGGGTATATTACCAGATGTGTTTATAAGAATTGCAGAAAAATATACTAGAAAATAAATATTTACCTATATCAGTCTTTAAACTTGATATATATCTTTATAAATTGATTTTTTCCATGAAGGATTAAAATATAGAAAAAAAGAAAAACATTAGTAGGGTCAAAAAAATTCTAAACTAGATAGATGTAAAAGATTGCTAAAAGTGGTTCTCAACCTTTTCTGTTCCCATTATTGCTAAGAGCAGCTCAAAAACCTCACTGATAAACAATGTGTTTTCTTGAATATTTTTTATGCTTATATCCAAAAATTTTTGCCATTTAAGATTAAATGGTTACAAGAAATGCAGTACCCTGCAAACATTGCAATTATACAATACAATTGATATTTATCAGTGTCGCGTACCTAGTGGAACCTACATACTATGGTGACTTAATTCTCAAAATCATCCATGGCTCAAACATCCAAACAAACCCTTGCTTTACAATATCACACCATTTCTTTTCTTGATGAACTGATTTATACTCCATTTTCTAATAACTGTTTGATAAAACTGATGCTTATGCTTAATATCTTATTGATCACTCTATCACATTTCTCTGCAACAAAATATGTATATAAGTTAAATTAATTTTATTAAAGTTCCTATGACTATGAAGCACTAAGTTTAAATGTTTTCCTCTGAATTGACTTTCCATTATAAGTATTATGAACACACAGCTGACGGAAACATAAATGTACTACAAACCTAGTAACTATCAAATACTAAGAGTAAAACTTTTATTAAAAATATATCTCGGGCCTTCCTGGTGGCACAGGGGTTAAAGACAGCACTATCAAGCTATCGCCAGCCACTGCAGCATGAGTTCAATCCCCCTGCTTCCCTGGCACAGGGTTGTTAAAAGTCTCAGCACTATCGCGAGCCACCGCAGCATGAGCCACTGCAGCATAAGTTCAATCCCTGGCCAGGGAGCTAACCCACATGGCATAGCAGACCTCTCCTGTCTCACCTGCTGCTCCCCTCAGCAGTGTATTTCAGTAGCCTCGCCTGTTCTGCTCGCCACTCTCTCTGGTGAATCCTCTCACCCCCTCCCACCCCGTACCTCTGGCTTACACCCAGTTCTTGTATGCATAAATAAATCATTTTAAAAATATGTATCTCAATGATATTGATGGGACCATCTCCCTTCCATTATTCCGTATCTATGCATGAAAATCATTTATTGCTAGAATGAGGAAGGGTGTATGTATTATTTTTATTCATGTTGAGAAACTTTCTCACATAAAGAAATTTTAGCATCATTACCCAATTGTTTTAACTCCTTTAGAGCTAACTGTTGAAAAATCACACAATAACCAAGAAACATTTAACAGTTCCATGACAACTCTATCAGGTTGTCTTTAAATTATGCTGAAAGCAAGTATTGGAATGGCCATAAGAAGAACAGGATCCAGTTGAACTTTTCAACCCTCATATTTTAAAAGACAACCACCCTCTGTTTTTTTTTTCTTTTTTTTCTTTGGGGGGGAGGGCAATTCAGAGGTATTTCTCCCTCCTGGAGCAAGGAAGAACAGTAATATCTGAAATGAATGTTGTAAAATGCAAGAAGAGCAACCCTAAAGGGAAGATGGCAAAGAGTAATTATAACCTACAAACCAGCCAGAGAAGATTTATAAATGAGCACATATGTCAGCTGTGTATCAGCCAGACTATTTGTACCACCTGAATGGCTGGAAGTAATAGCCCAAACTAAGGGGTCACTGCTTTAAGTCACTTCCTTCAGGGTGAAGCTGCTGGGTCATATGGAATACAAAAGAAAATCTTTAAAAGCTAGCACCAAATTGTTTTCTGAATTATTTCCACCTCTTTACATTGACACCAGCAGTGCATTATCACCAGTGCCCAGTCTTGTTACTTGTTACACTTAGTTTTGCCCATCTACTGGAGGAGAAATAGAAGTTACATTTTCCTCAATAGTAAGAGATGAAGTGCCTCACAAGTCTGTCCAGCACTGTCTAGCAGAGATCAAAGTCATTTCTGAACCCATCCAATTTATATACGTATGCTGTCAATCCAAGCACTCTCATTCCTTGTATTCTCACTCCAAACAGGCTTTTATTCCAATTTCATTCAACCCAAACATCAATCAGGACAAGATAACCAAGTACTTCCATGCAGCCCAAGCAAATCTTAAACCTTAAAGCAACACCACATGGAGCTGATTCTGTGAGAGTTCTAGGGCACTTTCCATAGAAGACTATGAGGCTAGTGTCTTGTTTTCCTCTTCTGTATGTTCTTGTGTGGTGATTGCCATTACAAATAAAATGGGAAGCAGTCTTTTATTATTCTCTGGAAGAATGTATACAAAATTGAAAATATTTGCTCTACAAATGTTTGAGTAGAATGCTCCTCTCTCTGCGAGCATCATGGTCCAGGCCTTCCATTGTACAGTGATTATATGAGTTTTCTACTGTAAGTCAGATGAGGTTTTATTTTATTTCCTATTTCACCTAAATTTTCAAATTTATTTTTGGCATAAAAATTCTTAATATTATTTTATCAATTTAAATCTCTGATATTTACACCTATGATGTCATTTTTCAATCTGAGTATTACTTCTTTGTTCCTTCATCTTTGCTCAATCTTGCCAGAAGCTTGACTATTTGACTTTTCAAAGACCCAACTTGGACTTTATTATCCTCTCTTGTTACTGTGTGCTTTCCATAAGTTTACGGTTATCTTCACTTACTTCCTCGTAACCTAATTGGATTTATTCTAGAGTTATTTTTTGTCATCTTTTAAGTTGGATACTTAAGCTTATTCATCTTGGTCTTTATTCTTTCCTAAAGAATCTTAACTGTATCACACAACTTTCAAAAACTATTCTTCTTAGAATGAATCTTAATGTGTTATATTTTCCACTAAGATTCCTTTGTTCAGTTTTAAGTTATTTCTAAGTTATTTTAAATTTCCCAGTGTTGGGGACTTTTTCCAGTGGCCTTTTGTAAGTGACTTCTACATTAACTGCCTATAGTCCCAGAACACAGTCTCTGAAATCTGTGGTGGTTTTATACTCTACCAGATGGCTAATTTTCATGAATATTGCATGAGTGCTTGAAAAGAATGCACAGTCATCAATTGCTGAGGGTGATGATCCCCACAAGTTCATCACAGCATCCCTCAGGAGACCAGGAAAATAATCAATACCCTTTATCTGCTACAGCCAGTAGACCACTTGCATCCTATTTAATATTTAGGTCATTTTATAAATAACTCACCAAAAAAACCCCAAAATAGTGAAAAAAGCAAATTTATTAGGAATTTCAAAGTTTAACAAACCTGTATTTTTAGTTTATATTTTCCTAGCATGTGCATATATGTATACACACCTACAAATACATGTGTAAACGCTCACACACATATAGACACCATATAGAACACACACACACAAACACATGTGACAAAGGTTGCATCAGTTGAATGAAACTTTTCATCAACTGACACACACAAACCTGGAACACAAGTTTAATAAAAACTGATTCCAGACATCAACATATCTCTAAAAGGTTACCTACCATTACTTGACATGACTCTTCTTGCACTTGCATTGCACAGTGATTCTAAAAATTTTGTTCACTGATAATTTTGTTAAGATATAGTCATTTTCTTTGCTCTTGATTGTAAAATATTTTCATTTTTTAATTTAAAAACATCAATCAGAATGATAAAGCCAATGATTTGGTATCATTCTATGCCATCTAGTTCCTTCCTATCACCTGTGTATACATTCCTGTCTTCAACACTTTCTCTTACAAGCTATATCAAGTATATGTTCTGCCAAATAGCATATGAAATGCATGGATAC